AAATTTCATCTAGCGGGGCGGGGGTGAGTTTACTATTACCCGCCCCCATGGGGCCCCATTTCCATCCCTATTAGAAAGTTACATGATTTATTTTATGAAATCAAATCTATTGATTGTATTTCTTGAGTGTTAAGCCAAAACCTTAAAATCAAACAAAATGAAACAATGAGTAACTTTTTATAAATATAAGTAAATACTCCATCGAATTCTTATTATGAGACACAATTTAGAAGAAAGTGGTAATCCTTTTTAAAATACATTTTATAATTTTTATAAGGCTTAAATATGTTTTCAGTCCTTTAAATTTAACATAATTTTTTTTTGGTCTTTTAAACTTAAAATTGTTATTTTTAGTTTCAGTAATTTTTTAAAATTTTGTTTTAATCCTTCAGGCTACTAATAACATATATGAAAGTGACAAATTGAGATAGTTATGTAGTATTAGTTGAGTTTAATGTGATATTTTCACTATGAGAAATAGTAGTATGTAGATTTTATTCGACAATATTTAACATATTTCCTAACAAAATTTGAGTATAAGAATTAAAATATTTTTTTAAATTACAGAGACTAAAAAGATCAATTTTTAAATTTTAGGGACTAAAAAAAATTTATATTAAGTTTAAAGGACTAAAAATATATTTAAGTATTTTTATAAATTATTAATTTTATTTTTATTTTTCTTTATTAATGATTGTGAGAATCTGTAATTATGGTGATTGAATAATGAGAAACAATTGAGAAATAAATATTCTCTCTCACTCCACACATACACCAACATCAATTAATTTTTTTGACATGATGTTTGATAAAGAATTAAATTACCCCCTCTCATTTTTATTGAAAGAAAACAAAATTAAATTACTCTCATTAATGACATTTATTACATAGATATGAATGTAACATTTAATGTTATTAATGTAATTTAAATATATATATATATATATATATATATATATATATATAAAAGAAGGATTTGTTTAGAGTAAGTTTACCTAAATTTACTTTGTTTAATAAATTATATTCTACAAAAAATTTTATTAATTCAACCATTGAATTTAAAGTTCTTAATGTATAGATCAAGTTTGCAAATTTTTTAAAAATTTAAAAGTTATTTGATACTTCGTTTTACTAATTCAAATCAATGTATAAAATGATTTTATGATTATCCCTCAATTTGAATTAAAGAAATGAAGTAACAAATGCTTTTCAAAAATTTGTAAAGTTGATCTATATATTAAGAAATTTAAATTAAGCGGTTATATTGTTAAAATTTAACATAAAACCTGAGTTATTGAACATAGTAAATCTATGATAGACTTACTCATAGAGTAAACAAATCCCTCATCTCTCCCCCCCCCTCTCTCTCTCTGTATATATATATATATATATATATATATATATAATAGAAGAATGATATCCTTTTTATAAAATGTTATATAATTTCTATAGAACATTAATTTTATTTTATTTTTATTGTTTTCCATCATTAAATATTGTAAATATATGTACTTCTTTTTGTTGAATACCAAAAAAGAATTTGAGAAAAATGTTTTCTATCATATGTTGAACTCTTCAATTATTATTTATCAATTTTATTGGTATTGGTGAATAAATTTTGATAAGAAGTAATATTTTTTCGTGTTCCATAACAACTTAATAATTAGTAAAAATGGTAAAATTAATACATCATGACTTTTTGTATATTAAACTAATAATGTTAACTAAAATATCTATTTATATTGGTTTGTGTGATTTTTTTTTTTATAAATGTCTTATATAGTAATAATGACTAGAAAGAGTACCTTTATTTGAAAGATATCTGTACCTGCACGAGGGTACTCCGATAATTTTGCTACTCCTGCTGGGTCTTCGTCTTCCATGAGGTATCCTAGGGAAAGCGAGTGGTACCTGCAAAAGGCACTCCAATGCTTAAGTCAGTCCTCGATCTCAGAGATATCAATGCTAATGAAATTGGTAATTATCAAAACGTATCTCTCTTTGTCACTGGTCATACTTATTTATACTAACCTTGATGGGTCAGGCCCATATGCAGGCCCATAAGAGGATCCATTAATGATACGAGAAGTCTTCAATGTGATCGCAAGGAGTTATAGATTCTTCTAAGGTGCTTTCCCTAATATTCATACCATTATCCGGTATACATGCCCCCAGGGTTTCAAGGCTTTTTGATAAATATTAAAAAATGGAGAAATCCTAAAAAGAAATGTTTGCGGATCTTTTCTGCTGCTTTCTCTGATATTGCCGTCTTTCAATTAGGCTGCTGCTTTCAATCATACTTGGCCGAGGACTATCATATTTATGTATATAAAACTTTGGCTTTCAAAACTTTTTCACCAAGGAATCTTTTATATGTGAGATTTCTCGCTTTTAAACGTTTGGCCGAAGACCAAAACGGTTTCCTTAATAAGATTCCTTTTAACTAAGAGCTGAGTAGGACCCTTGTCTTTGTCCTTTAAAAGATTTCTTTTAACTCCTTTTACCGAGGGCATAAATCAAGTAATTTTTTATTCTTTTTAACTCCTTTGATCGAGGGCATAAATCAATCAATTTTTGATTCTTTTTAACTCTTTTGACCGAGGGCATAAATCAAGCAATTTTTGATTCCTTTTAACTCCTTTTAATAATGTATAAAAACAGTTTTTAGGAGTTTTTTCTTGGCCGAGGAGTCATAATTATTACTAGGGAACTTGGTAAGTTTTTAACCAAGGGGTTGTAAGCTTTTGGCCTTGACAAATTTTGGCCGAAGGGGCTTCAACACCTCGCTTTTGAATCACATCGTTTTTAATAAAACCGAGGACTTTTAATGTGAAGCCTAGCTTTTGCTAAGGTTTTTCGACCGTGGACTTTTTAATATCACAAATAACTTGAAAAGTTTTTGGCCGAGGGGTTATAAACATTTACGCCTGGCAATTTTTTGGCCGTGAACCGTTAATATATAAAACAAAGCTTTTAATTTTTATTTGGCCGAGGGCTATTTAATATGTGAAGCTGTACCTGTCTAAGGGCACACTCCTTTTCTTCTGGGTGAAAGGGGACCGAATAAGAGCTCCAACGATATCTCCAAGGGATGGGGGAGGTACCTGCAAAGGGTACTCCGACGCTCAAGTCAGTATATGCACGAATATCTAGGGTAAAAATGAACAGTGACATACCTCGTTATGTGTGACCTATTTATAGTGCCTGACGTGGGCCTGAGCATTGTGGGCTTTTTCAGGTGTTTACTAAATTAGGTAATACGATGTTAATTACTTACTTACTGACTTAACCATGCGCTTACCTGCTAATCATAATTAATAGCCGTCCTTCACCTATCGGTACGGTATTTCGCCGATCCGATAGGTAAAGGAATGGGGCGCTATTATTAATCGGGTTGATCAACAGTTGTCTAACTATCCTGCCCTACGGGGGACTCTCCGGCTCGGTCTTATGCCGAGCCGTTAGTAACATTCGTCCCGGACGTTGGCTGGACCGATGTTTCCGACATCATGGCGTAGGTGTCTGACAGAACGGCACGTGTTGGTCAACGTGACCGATAGGGACCTTCCGGTACAGAAGCTTATCTGTACAGTTTTTATGCCATGGAATTTAAGAGTTTCATGGCCGAAGGGTCTTTAATATATTCAAAAGGTTTTGTCCGAAAGCTTTTTGCCGAAGTGTCGGGATATAATAGCCTCGAAAATTGATTGATTTGAAACCGATGGGCTTTTAAAATAACTGTACTAGGCCGAGGGGTTTTACAAACTCATAGGCCGAGAGGTCTTTTCAAGATAAAGGCCTTAGGCCGAGGGGTGTTAAACGTTTGAATTCATACTTTATCGGTTGTGCCCTCGGTTAGGGTTTTGTTGTCTTTTCAAGATAAAGGCCTTAGGCCGAGGGGTGTTAAACGTTTGAATTCATACTTTATCGGTTGTGCCCTCGGCTAGGGGTTTGTTGTTTCCACACTCGGCCGAGGGTCTCGAGTTATTTTTATGTGCTTAGTTAAGTAAGTTTTCGGCCGAGGACTTGAGTTATTTTTCACGTTCGACTGAGTGTGTTCTTGGCCGAGGTCTTGAGTTGTATTTTCACGCTCGACTGAGTATGTCCTCGGCCGAGGTCTTGATTTGTTTTTCGCGCTCGACCGAGTGTGTGCTCGGTCGAGGTCTTGATTCGTTTTTCACGTTCAACCGAGTGTGTCCTCGGTCGAGGTCTGCACTCGGTCGAGGTCTGCACTCGGTCGAGGTCTTGATTTGTTTTTCACGCTCGATCCGAGTGTGTCTTCGGCCGAGGTCTTGAGTTGTTTTTCACGCTCGACCGAGTGTGTCCTCGGCCGAGGTCTTGAGTTGTTTTTCACGCTCGACTGAGTGTATCCTCGGTCGAGGTCTTGAGTTGTTTTTCATGCTCGATCGAGTGTGTCCTCGGCCGAGGTCTTGAGTTGTTTTTCACGCTCGACCGAGTGTGTCCTCGACCGAGGTTTTGAGTTGTTTTTCACGCTCGACCGAGTGTGTCCTCGGCCGAGGTCTTGAGTTGTTTTTCACGCTCGACCGAGTGTGTCCTCGGCCGAGGTCTTGAGTTGTTTTTCACGCTCGACCGAGTGTGTCCTCGGCCGAGGTCTTGAGTTGTTTTTCACGCTCGACCGAGTGTGTCCTCGGCCGAGGTCTTGAGTTGTTTTTCACGCTCGACCGAGTGTGTCCTTGGCCGAGGTCTTGAGTCTAGGAGCTCGTTAAACCTGAAAATATTTCTTGTATTATTATTCACTGGGGTATCTCGTTAAAAACATTGCTTAGCAAAAACCCTTTCACGTTCTTTTAGGGATAAAAAGCTAAGCAAGGAAAAGAGTACACCGAATTACAATGTTTTTCAACTGTAATACACTTTCAAATGTGTTGTATTCCATGTTCTTGGCATTAACTTTCCATTTAATTCTTCTAGCTTGTATGCTCGCATGTTTTGATTAATTCTGTATGGTCCATCTCAATTGGCCGAGAGCTTTCCTTCCCTTAGATTCTTTCTTGCTTCTCAATTGGCATAGCCTCGGCTCTAGCTTGATTTCTTGATTCAGTTAATTCCTCCATTTTCATGTATTTTTCAGCCCTTCTCCTCAAGTTATTCATATCCAACGGAGGTTTTTTGCATATACTATCTACAAAAGGTCCGGGTTTCAACGCTGTGTTCAACCTATCCATTGCGACAGCTGGGTTCAGGTTTTTTATCTCCATTGCGATTTTGTTAAAACGATCCATAAATGACCTTAAGGATTCCTTCTTTTCCTGTCTGATGTTGGCCAACGCCAATGATGTCAGTTGGTAAGGTCTGCTTGTAGCAAATTGTACTGTAAATAAAGATGTTAGTTCTTCAAATGAATTTATGGAGCTGGGGGAAAGCTTAATGAACCAACTCAATGCTCGTCCTTTTAGTGAAGTGGGGAAGAGGCGACACAAAGCAGCGTCTTCTGTTGTTAGAAAGGTAACCTGTGTGAGATATGCATTCAAGTGGTCATCGGGATCTGAGGATCCATCGTACTTCTCTAAAGGAAGGTTTCTCCAACTATCAGATATGGTTGTCTCCATAATGTTTTGAGTGAAAGGGTGCTTGTATGAGTCGGGTGTTGCCACTATCCGAGAAGGAGGTTTCCTAGGAATGGTTGATAACTGCATGAGAGGAACGTGTGTTTTTGGAGTTGTCGGTACGTGATATGAGGAGGCCTCATTGTTGGGTTGTTCAGTAGGGTTCCAAGTTCTGTTCAAGCTTCTCAACTTGGCATTTTCTCTCCTGAGTACTTCAAGCTCCTGAGCGTCTATTTCTCGGGCTTTCTTGACAGCTTCTATTTCTTCACGAAGCATATTCATAGCTTTTGAGAGATCAATTTGATCTTCCACAACAACTGGCCCCGAGTCCTGTTCAGGTTGAACCGAGTGGTTGTTGTTCCTAGTACCATCCTCTACAAAATCTTCTTCCTGCAAAAGAGATAAACAATGCGGGCCTTCAAAATGGGCCCCACGGTGGGCGCCAAAATGTACCTGTACGAGGGTACTCCGATAATTTTGCTACTCCTGCTGGGTCTTCGTCTTCCATGAGGTATCCTAGGAAAAGAGAGGGGTACCTGTAAAAGGCACTCCAATGCTTAAGTCAGTCCTCAGTCTCAGAGATATCAATGCTAATCAAATTGGTAATTATCAAAACGTACCTCTCTTTGTCACTGGTCATACTTATTTATACTAACCTTGATGGGCCAGGCCCATAAGAGGATCCATTAATGATACGAGAAGTCTTCAATGTGATCGCAAGGAGTTATAGATTCTTCTAAGGTGCTTTCCCTAATATTCATACCATTATCCGGTATAATATCAAATATTACAATTTCTTATTTAGTAAGGAAGTATAACTTCTTATCAATAGATAAATTGATATTTTTAATCGTGACTTTATGTCTAAGTCGAAGATCAAACCTTAATTATTGGTTACAAAGATAAGTGTTGAACTAACAAAATTTAGTTATTAAATATACTATATTTATTAAATTTAATAGTTCAAATAAATTATTAAATATTTTATTTTTCATATAATCGGATATATATATATATATATATATATATATATATATATATGAGAGAGAGAGAAAAGAGGGAGATCCACTTAATTTAAGAATAAGTTTAATTTGACTTACTTTACTTAATAATCCATATTTTATATCAACTTTTAACTATTTAATCATTGAATTAAAAAAATTTAATGCATAGATCAAATTTATAATTTTTTTAAAATTAAAATTATTTGATATTTTATTTTAATAATTCAAATTAATAGATAATTATAAAAGTATTTTATGTCAATTTTAATTAATGAAACAAAATATCATATTATTTTGAATTTTTTTTTAAAATTTGATATAAAAAAAACGGTTGATTTAACAATTGTATCATTGAATTTCAATGTAGGTGATGAGTTATTGGGTGGAGAAATATAAAATTTTGTATATATAATTTAAGAATAAAGAACTTTCAATTTAACGGTTGAATTTACAAAATTCACATTTAATATAAAGTTGTTGAATGGTGTAATACTTAGTAAAAGTTACACTAGTGTTTTTATAACACTCCTCTCTCTCTCTTTCTCTCTCTCTCTCTCTCTCTATATATATATATATATATATATATATATATATAATTTATATCATTGTTATTATAACCCTCATCTATATATATATGAGGATGATTATAATAATACCGGTGTAACTTTTACTAAGTATTACACCGCTCAATAACTTTATATTAAATGTTAATTTTGCAAATCCAACCGTTAGATTGAAAGTTCATATCACTTTATATGTGTATATCAAATTTTGTTAAAATTGAACAACAACTTGAAGGTAATCAAAGTGTTCATATTTTAGTATATTTTGAAATAAATATATTACGTCAATTTTGTTTTATAAGAATGAAGTATCAAATCATCTTGAATTAATATAAAATTTTCTATATATGATTTAAGAGATATGAACTTTTAATCTAACGGTTGGATTTACAAAATTCACATTTAATATAAAGTTATTAAGCGGTGTAATACTTAGTAAAATATATATATATGAGGAGGGTTCAAACGACACCGGTGTAACTTTAACTAAGTGTTACACCGCTCAATAACTTTATATTAAATGTGAATTTTGTAAATCCAACCGTTAGATTGAAAGTTCATATCTCTTAGATCATATATATGAAATTTTATATTAATCTAAGATGATTTGATACTTCATTCTCATAAAACAAAATTGACGTAATATATACATTTCAAAATATACTAAAATATATATATATGAGGATGAATCTACTCACTTTAATTAAGAGTAAGTCTATTTAGATTTACTTCACTCAATAACTCATGTTCTATATCAAATTTTATCAATCAAACTGTTAAATTAAAAAATTTTAATCCATAAATCAAGTCTACAAAGTTTTAAGAAATTTGAAAACTATTTGATGCTTCATCTCATTAATTTAAATTAATAAATAATTATAAAAATATTTTATACGTTGATTTGAATTAATAAAATGAAGTATAAAATAGTTTTAAATTTTCTTAAAAAATTTGTAGAATTGATCTATACATTGAAAAAAAAATTAATTTAACGGTCGGATCATTGAAATTTGATATATAATATGAATTATTGAATAGAATATGTCTAGGTAGACTTAATATTGGAATAAGTAAATTCCTGTGTGTGTTAAAAAATTTTAATTCATAGATTATGTCTGCAATTTTTTTTTAAATTTTAAAATCATATACTACTTTATTTCATTAATTCAAATTAATGAATAATCATAAAAAAAAATTACACGTTGATTTGAATTTGTATAATGAAGTATTGTATGTTTTTCAAATTTCTTAAAAATTTGCAGATTTAATATATGTATTAAGAACTTTTAATTCAATAATTAGATTATTAAAATTTGATGTAAAACATGATTTATTAAATAAAATAAGTCTACTAAAACTTGCTCTTAGAATAAGTGGATCCCTCCTCATTAAAAAGTTATTATTATAATAAATGATACTTGTATTCATATTATTTCAAAAGCAGAAGATGATATAAAAAAAGATAGATATTTAAATGCTATAATAATAATATTAATAAATATTATATTAATACATACATTTTTTTAAAATTAGTTACATTAAAAACATTTTTCAAAAAAGTTCATTACAAAAAAAAATTGTCACATAAATACTATATAGTGACACATATACTTGTCACTAAAAATTACTTTTATCTACATTATAGATGCTATTTATATTGGTATATTAATAAAAAAAAGTGTAGGTATAAACTATATTGACACATAATATATGTTGTTAAATCTCATTCGAAATCAATATCAAAATTGTGTATAATTATGTTAAGTCAAAAGACGATATTGGATCTTTGAAGTTTTAATGATAACAAATAAAAGATTTTTCTTTTAAACAAAATGAATTATCTACAAAATATTTGATATCAAATGAAATGTAAAATGTATCTATCTTATTATGTATTAAACGTATATTTTTTTAAATGAGACTAATAATAAATTCCATTGAATGTTTTATTCTTTAACATATTGAACAAGAAAGATGTTTAGGAACTCTTAAAACCTGTTAAAGAAGGAAAAGTCAAATTATCCATCAGAATCAAAAGGCAAAATCTTGAATATCATGAAAAAGCAGAAAAAGACAAAAACTACTATACATTGACATTGCTTTTGCAAGAACAGCTCTATGATGATATTGCTTTTGCAAGGACTGCCTTGTGCTAACATTACTTATGTTATTCTCATTTTAGAAAGAAATGACGATAAGTAGCCTCCTAGATTAGATAAGAGATACACGTTTTACTGAAAAATATTTAATGTTTGTATTAAATAAAGCAACGATAATCTCTTTCCTTTAGGTTCAATAGTGAAGACAAATGAAACAACTCGTGAAGCAACTTGTGAGTTCAACTCAAATTATCACAATGATCATAAAGATCGAGCCATCAAGAAAGAAAACAACACAGAACAAAGACTCGAATGAAAAGAAACACATAACAGAGACTCACATACAAAGAAACACTTACTATAAATTATGTATATACTTCTTTTAGATTATTTGTACTTTCATTGTTGGTTGCAACACGTCTAGAAGAGGCGAAAAAACCTTATAATCTTTTGTAACCTTTGATGTAAGGGTTGAACTTGTGGAGATTTGTTCAAAGAATACTTGGTATTGAGCTTGGAGAGACTTATTTAAGAAAGAATATTTGGTCTTGAGTCTAAAAAGGCTTGTTTGAAAGAATACTTGGTACTAAGTTTGAAGAGGCTTGTTATTTAAAGAATACTTGGGTAGTTTCTTGAAGAGGTAAGTCAAAGACTACTTAGGATTGAGTCAGAAGTGACTTGTTAAAAAATACTTGTATCTTGTCTAAAAGATAGTGGAACTCAATCTTGTTAAAAAATTCTAATATTTCATCTGACTCTTCTCCAACACTTTGTCTGTTAATTTCTTTTCTTCTTCGTTGCTCAAATGTGAGTTTTGATACACATTATTCAACTCCCATTCTAGATTGTGTCTTTTCTCCACAAACTATATAAATAAATTTATACCTATATATATATTACATATATGGCGAATGATATATCTTGAATATTATGACAATTAGTTATAATAAAGCTCTAACACGTAATTCAGGTACAAAAAAATCTCGCGAAATAAAACTTCAATAAGAGGTGTAAAAAAATTAATAAAAAAGAAGTATAAATATTAAAAATGTTTAGACAATAAAAATAGCTCTTACTAATGTTTTGAAAAATCAACATAATGTTCAAATAAAACACAAATACTAGTAAATAAAATCAATAAATTTTTTATTTCAATACAACAACCTATTAGAGTAACTCATCAAAATAGAATAACAAACTTATTAAGCTTCATCATCCTCATTCTCATCCTATCAACATGCTCAATGTCATTCTCACCTAAAAGTGATATTTAGTCCAAACAACAAAATACTACAGGAATGAGAATATGTCTTACACACTAAGAACACAACATAAACACAAGTACAAAGTACACTTACACATATCGAAACACTAGACATATGAACTCTTATGTTTTAAATTCTATATGCAAACGATACCATTAATTCTTAACAATATGAGACAACATAGGCCCATGTTGAACTCATTATCGCATAATGGGTAAACAATACATCTATTTTCACTAGTTATGGTTACCATTTATCACACATGTTGACAAGATGCTCCCTCCTAATGAAACTTCGGAGTCAAGGTAGAATAATATAGACACCATCTTAACTAGATTTACAAACAAATACCTCTAATGAAAAGATGCATGAATGCATAAACTCTATCATACAATACAACACACAAATGGCACAGGGCTAAGAAATGCCTAGATTTAAAGTTTGTTATTAGACAAAGTTTAGACTTCACAAATGACTAAGCAACGTTGGATTTTTGCACTACTAAGCATAACTTAGACTAAACTTTGGCACATAGATCTCTTATAGCATAAATTATTCATAACACAATTGTATCCACACAACTTTTACTTTTAATACTTTCAACCATTGTTCATGTTTTACCTTTTAAATTTCACTAGTTTTTCTCTAACTACTCATTCACCTTTAAAAGTAATCTCAACTATTCTCCATGTCAAAGTACTTTTATTGGGAAAATAACCCACAAAAATAGTACTAGGAAGGTTTGCTACATGAAACAGAGACAAAAATTCGTTGAGTGTGACCACCACTCTATGCTAATTAAAATGGCCATCCGTCCAAAGGTCAAAACTAATTGAGCAAAAGACCTTCGCTTAACCATCCATCTCGTAGAAACTAAAATTCACCAAATGAATTGTTTTCTCTTGGCAAATTAAAATGAACCTATCATTGAGACCAAAACTCATTGGGTGAAACCTCTTCGCTTTAAAGAACTCTCGTATTGTTTATCATTTTTGTTGAGTGATGATCCCACTACTAACAATTCTTATACATTCCAAGTGAAGATAATTATCACTCTTACTCTCTCTTTTACCTCAAATGATGATCTTTGATTAAAGGTGTGGTCTTAGGCCTCTAAGCGTTGCTTTTCAAGGTTTTTTTGGTAAGGGTTCCTTTGCAAGCTCTTTCTCTAGCATCATAAGCAAAAACAAGAAATTGATGCATATGAAGGCTAACCTTCTCTTTTCCATTATGATAGGCAAACTAATGGGTCGAACTTCTAAGTCTAGACCCAATACTTACCCATCAACATAACACACTCAACCCATATTTACTTTATTATTATAAAAATAGCGTTTTTATATTTTACTAGTCCAATTAATGAAAAATTAATTGAACCCAATAGAATAAATAATAATTAAATAACTATGTTATTGTTTTCTTACTTAAAACAAGATGTTACAACTATCCTATTTTAAAATAAATTTTATCATTGAAGTTCACCCATAAAAAATAGTTCTAGATGTAAGAACTAATAAAATGATGCATAATATTTTTAGACTTCAATGACCTATCAACCTAGTCCATAGAGTGACTTCAAAGAATACATTATCCCTTTTTAGAATTATAAGTATTTTTTTATTGACATATATCTTTTGCCTAATCTAGGCTATTCTCATTTGGGTCATCTTGACCTTATCTCTTTGATCATCTTGACCTTTTCAGTATTTTGTTGCCTTACTTCTGGCCCTAAGACAAAGTTTTCATTAGGTCCACGACAACTCAAAAATGCCCTACATCTCCTCCTTTAAAAGGTTTCATAGAATGTCATCTCAATATTGGAATAGTAACTATTATTGTAAATAAATTCTATTAAAGGTATGGAACTATTCCAACTACCCTTTTGTTCTAACATGAGCTATAAGAAAAACTTACAAGGATTAGATAGTTCTCTCAGTTCGTCATTTGTTTGTGGATGATATACTAAACTTAACCTAAGCTTAGTTCCCAAAGCTTAATGCAAACTCTCCCTAAATTTGTTTGTGGATAATTTGGACCATTAACATGACATGACTTCAATTGTGACTGGATCATTGAGAATTAATGAAACAAAGACCAATAATAACTTAAAGGAATTGTGTTGGGTGTAATAGTGAGGAAGCAACCAATAAAAGAGGAGAAAAAGATGAACATTAAAGTAAGATTTATTATGATATCACATTATGATAGAATAAAAAAATCAATCTTATTAAATGTTTAGCGAAATATTTACATACACGACAAGTGATCAAAGTATCAACTGCATTAAATGTACAATAACCAAATTAACTACCAATAACCGTTGATAACTATATTTTGAATATTTAACATTTATAGTGATTTAAAATTATTAAAGTATTCTCACTAGCCACTTTATATCTATCTCTCCCAATCAAATTTGATTGTAAGAAGTCATGACCAATAAGAAAGGGTAGGACCTCGAATGAACTTAGAAATTAAATTTGATTTAGCACACATGATTATAAATTTAATATTTTCTCCTAAGATCAATGCTTCTTTTCATGGTAAACATAGTTCTTCAAAGACTTCATCTTTTATGTAACATTTATTCTTCATTTTTAATATGTAACAAGTTCTACTAAAAGAAATCATTCTTCTTCCTTGTTAGTAATGAGTTCTTGGTATTCAAGACTTTATTTCTAAATGAGATTTTTTTTTTGCTAAACCTCCAATTTTTTTTATGACTTAGACAAAGATTAATTTGGTCCTTAACCGGAAGAAAAAATACTAATATTTTTATTGTTCCTTTTACCAAATTATCAATACTATAACTTTTAAATAGTTTCAATCTTAATATGATAATTAAGGTAGGAATTAGCTAGGTAGACTAAACTTTAAATATACAAATCGAACATGTTCTATGAAATTAAAGTCTAAACTTGATTGATTATTTATCATAATTTTTTTTATAGGTTTCACATGACCTTTTTAAAAGTTTGACTTAACTTTTTTGCTTATTTTATATTAATTATGTTAAATATGGTAATAAACTTAATTTGAAATAAGTCAGCAATTTGTTTTTAAGTACACATGCAAATCTTTTTTAATTTGCATCATAAAAAAATAGTTTACTCCATTGTTATTCAAATTTAGATTTTAACATAAAAATAAAAAGCTAATGTAAGAGGGATGACAATTGATGTAAACATATAGTCACTCATAGTTTACAATGAAAGAAGATAACCTCATTATTTTTTTTAAATGTTTACTATACCCCATTTAAAATTTAGAAATGAAGATAAAGAAAAAGAATATTTAAAAATTTGACTATTAGAGTTTTTATTTTTGATTTTTTGATTTTGTACAAATAAAGAATGTAACACATTTAAGTGTAATAGAAATATAAAAAAAATATTGATGATTTGATTTTTTGTATTATAAATTTATTTATTTAATTACATTAGTAATAATGTAATATTTATATTAATTTTTATTATATAATATAGATAACTATAGATTGATCTATCAAATCTAACAAACTCTTTTACAAATTTAAACTTGTCTCAATTTAAATAATTAATTTTTTTTTTAAACTTAAACTTGATATTTTTATTAAATAAATCAACTTTAAATAGTGTTGGAGAACAAATTCTTATTTGAATTTTACTCAAATTTTTAAGAACAACAAAATTATAATTTAGGATAATCTTTTTCATAAAAAAATCAAATCAAACCAAACCAAACTTTGTTATCAATCACAAGATTACCGTTATTTACAAATTATTTTGTACAAAAATAAAAGATCCAACTAAAATTTAAAAAATTGTACACGAATGAATGAAATATATAAAATGATGGGATAGAAACTTGAGAAATAATTTTCCATCACTTCGTATAGTTTCACTTTTTTTTTTTTATATATATATATATAAACAAGCATTTTTTAAAATTACAAGAACATTAATTTTTTTATATATAATATCCACAATAAAATTTAAATTCAAGACACCGACTATATTCCATTCTATCATACTCAATTACTCATCATTTATCCCATATTTAAATAGAAAGTTAATTAAGTGAATTAAAATTCAAACACTAAAAATGAAACTCCTCATTAGTGGGATAAAAAAATGATTAATTATTGAATTATCTTAGAAAGTTTTCTTAGATATAGGCCAAGCCAACTTAGCACATGAAATTTACAACTCACCCTCCCAATTCCCAAACCTATTTATTTATTTATATATTTAACTTTTTCCCTTAACATTGTTAACATTCATTTGAACAATTTCTCTTATTTCACATACTCTCTCTGTCTCTCTCTCTAAACCTGCTTCCGCTGATCGCTTTCTCGTCTTTTCTCGCCGATTTTCCTTCCCGCCAAACACTGTCTTCCGCCGCTTCGCCGATCCTCGATTCCTCCTCCTTCTCATTCCTATCCGGTACGTGATCCATTCTCACTCTACTCAACTCTCCAAATTCACTTTCATTCAAATCATTTTTTTTGTATCTCGATTTTTTTTGGAAATGTTTAGTGGTTTTATAGTGTGGAACGAATGAGAAGTTGAATTTGTGAACTAATTTGTTTTTTTTTTCTTTTTTAAATTCCTGCGCTTTTGTGTGTGTTCTTAATGTCGGTTTTGTGAAAGATCGTGGATGCATGCGTTTGGTTCAGTTAATCGTCGTTTAATTATCGGCATTGGTTGTATCGATCAATGGAAAGGGGGAAGAATGCGAGTTTCCGCTGTTTTGCATTTGCTTTTTTAGTTTTTTGTGGGAAAAAGAGAAAGGAAAAAAAAAAAGCAGCAGAGGTTAGAGGTTAAAGTGCGGCGTCGAAATCGATCGGTTGGGATTAGATTCAGTGTTTTGGTTTTCGTCTTGCGTGTGGACCTTTTTATTTTTAGACGTTTAAATTAAATCTAGTAATGTGGGGCAAAAAAATTAAAAATTAAAAATCGAATAATGTAGGAGTGAGTTGTGCTTGACCAGTGCGTGGCTTTGGCACCGTAAATGAGTAGTACTTGTTGATGATGGTGGTGTTGTTGGTTCTGGCTCTGGGAAGTGGTTTTTGGGTTAATTCATTTAATGTGCTGTTGCTGTTGTAAAGGTAAATTGAAGCTGATGGTAGGTAACAGGTGCACTAATTTGCATGTCTAAATTGTTGCTAACATGGTGGTACATTGAATTTATGTATGGAGAAGGAGGAATGAGATCCTCTTTGCCTAATTCATTTTTTTCTCCGTACTTTCCAAGTCCGAGAACTAATAATTGCTGATGTTTTTATTAGGGGTGTCTTTTGTTTTAATTTAGTGCCTGTTTGGATTACCATCCCCGGTCCATGTCCTGGAAATTCTCACGAAAAAATGCACGCAAAAGCAACTAATAATTGCTTCAATGACATGTGGCCAAGCTGTCTAGATGATACTTCACACAAGGCAAGTGTCATTGTTTTTTTCTTTTTAGAAATTTGCTTGTTCAGTAGCTGTGGTTGATAATATCTCAGGAAACCCTTTCAGTGTCTTGGGGGTTAGATGAATTTTGGGTTGACAAGTATAAGGCTATTTTGGTTCAGTTAATAAAGCTATTAAAGTCGGAATTTGAGAGACACGTGTCAAAAACAGAGCAAGTCTGAAACGGTAATTGACTGACCAGAAAAGTTATGAACATGCTGGAAACTGACCGGAAATGATGGGCGCTAGTGGAAAATGGTCAGAAAGTGAAGTGTGATGCCAGAAATCTCACCACAGAGAGTGGGATCTATGTAGGAGATGATGAGGCTTGGGTTCCAGACTTGGGATGTGCAAATGGTTAGCTTGGGAGGGAAAAAGGGTTTCTGATCGGGTTAAATAATTGGCGGGGCGTTGGTCAACTTGCAGGTCAAAGAGGGTTTTGTGCCTATGTGGCAGTAGTGGCTGTGATGGCTTTGAAATTGTATGAATGTGGCAATGATTCTTGCTGCTACAGCCACAATGATGAACAGCTCTGCTGCAGAGATCATAGAAGCAGCAGAATGCTATGAAACTGGCTGGAAAAATGTGTGTCACCATGCACCAGAAACTGGCTGGGAAAGCTGTGTGCTGGCAGAAAATGGCCAGAAACTGAAATGTGACTCCAAAAATCTCACCACAGAGAGCTGGCTCTACTTTGGAGATGGTGAGGCTTGGGTTCCAGACTTGGGGGTCTGCAAAGTGAGAGTGGGTGGGGAAAAGGGCTTTATGCCTGCTGTGGCAGAAGTGGTCCAGATGGCTGCAAAATCGTGTCTATGGCCATGATTCCTGTGAATATAGCCACAATGACAAACCACTTCGCTACAGAGATCATAGAAGCAGCAGCATGCCACAATGCGCAGGGATGGTGCTATCATGCTGTGCTCTGTAATATTTAATACTATGGTTTCGTTTATATAACTTCAAATTTGGGATAGAACCTAATTCAACCGCACTATACCAGTTTGTAAGAGGTGAGGATTACCCAAACTTTATAAGCACTACTTAGGCCTTATCTCTCGTCAATCTTTTTAATAATTCATAATTAATGATTTAAAGATATATTAATACTTAATGATTTAAAACCAGAATTTGAGAAAACGTGTCTAAAACAGAGCAAGTCTGAAACAGTGATGGACTGACCAGAAAAGTGATGAGCATGCTGGAAACTGGCTGGAAAAAAATGTGTGCCACCAGAAATTAGCTGGAAATGATCTGCGCTGGCAAAATGGCCAGAAACTGAAATGCAATGCAAAAAATCTCACCACAGAGAGCTGGGTCTAAGTTGGAGATGGTGAGGAGGCTAGGGTTTCAGACTTCGGGATGTGCAAATGGTGAGGTTGGTGGGGAAAAAGGGTTTCTGATCTGATTAAATGAAGGGAAAAGGGGAAGGGGGATCAGTGTTGAATGGTACATTTGCAGGGGCAAAAAGGTCTTTACACCAGATTTGACGAGATGGCTGCAAAATTGTTTGAATGCGGCCATGGTTCCTGTGACTATAGCCACAACGACAAACCACTCTGCTACAGAGATCCCAGAAGCAGCAGCGTATCACGATCCTCTGCGATGGCGCTATAGTGCTGTGATGAACAGTATTAAATATTATGATTTTATTAATATAACTTGAGAATTCTAGAGTGTAACCCAACTCATGAAATCATCTTGTAAGGTTAGGATTGTCAAAGCTTTATATGCACTACTTAGGCTTATAGTCTATGTGATTAGCGATTTAAAGTCAGAATTTGAGAAACATGTCTCTATAACAGAGCAAAGCTGAAATGGTGATGGACTGACCAGAAAAGTGATGAGCTTGCTGGAAATTGGCTGGAAAAAGATGTGAGCCACCTGAAACTGGCTAGAAATGATGTGTGAAAATGGCCAGAAATTGAAGTGCTGCCAAAAATCTCACCACAAAGAGCTGGGTCTACATCGGAGATGGATGGTGAGGCTAGGGTTCTTGACTTGGTGGTGTGAAAATGGTGAGGGTGGTAGGGAAAAAGGGATTCTGACATGGTTAAATGAAGGGTGGGGGTGAGGGACCATCTTTAAATGGTAAATTTGCAGGGGCAAAAAGGGCTTTTCTGAATGTGGCCATGATTCCTGCTATTACAGCCAGAACGATGAACCGCACCGCTATTAAGATCATAAAGCAGAAGCATGCCACAACATTGATGATGCTATAGTGCTTTAATACGCAATATTAAATACTCTGGCTTCATTTATATACTTAGGATTTGGACTTAAGACCTAACTTAACCTTACAAAATTAACTCATAAGATGGGCATTGCCCAAACTTTATAAGCACTACTAATGCCTTATCTCTAGTTGATGTGTGACTAAAGATACCCTCAATGTAGCAATTAAGGCATCATAAAAAGGCTGAAGTTAAGGTAGGACAAGGGTGACTGCAATTAGAGAAGATTTTCAACATAGCCCTCACATCAAGGGCTATGGGCCTAGAGCATGGCAATGTAGGTGCCCCAACAATAGATCTAGGACAAGCTTTGATACGAACTTTGAATTTGGACGTGGGAATGTGGGATGTAATTCAATCCCACAAAATTAGTTTATAAGGTGAAGATTATTCAAGTTTTATAAGCATTACTTAAGCCTTATCTTTAGTCAATGTGGGACTAAATACACCCCCTTGATGCTGCAGCTAAGGCATCCTAAAGAGGCTGCAATTAAGGCAAGATTGGTGATTGTAATTAAGGCAAGACAAGGTTGACCGCAATTACAGCAGCTTTCCAGCAATATATATAGAAACTGAGTAGAAACAATGCAGGGGAAACATATTAAATGACACTTATTTGCTGCACTGCTCAGCATATGAAACATTAGAAAACAGCTGCAAGGTTTTAATTGGCCTAGGTCGAAGTTTTAGTCACCTTAACGTTTCTGCTCATACACACCAACAACCAAACCAGAGGAGGAAGAAAATAAGCTTAGATGTGGAGTCATAAAATTTTCATCCTAAATATCGCCGTGCAAGAAACCTCCTTTTGGTGGACGGGCCATCCTTGCATGCAGCAATACCAAGAACTGTCCTAACAATAGTCATTTTTGCCACTAGAGCAATTACCTCATCATAATCAATTCATATTCTTGCTTGTTGCCAATAGCAATCAGCTGAGCCTTGTAGTGATCTAGAGAACCATTGGAATTAAGCTTCACTAAAATACACCCGCTTGACTGGGTTTAGGAACCATTAGCAATCTACAGAGCCTTATAGTGATCTAGAGAATGATCTTCAAGAAGTGATCTAGTTTTTTTGGCTACATATGAAGCGATCTAGTAAGCCTTGTAGTGATCTAGAGAACCATTAGCAAGAATTGGTTTAATACCAGGCCATGGAACAATAATCCAAATATAATTGATTCTCTTGAAGAGCCTGTAGCTCAGCTTGCAAGACTTGTTTCCTACCTGCATGCTTATCACCTGACAACAAGTAGGAGCAGAATGCCAAATAAAGTCACATTTAAGAGAAGTCTGCAGGAATCCACATCTATCTGGTGGATGAGGAGCACTAGCGGATCTTTGAGGTGTTGTTGGCATGAGCTCAGGTGGTCGGTAAATATTGGGGGTGGGGG